AAGACGGTCAGTGCTACGGAGGTTGGAGAGGAGGCCTGTGTGTGTGGAGGGATTACAACACCCCCACACCTTGTGGCCAACACATTAGGAGCACTTAACATTTATTACGAGCATTTTTAAAGTGATTGGGATCATCTCATTTCATGTCCAAAAAAAAAAAGCAAAAGCAAAAGCAAAAACCCTACCAGGTAGATACACATATTTTTAACGATTTCCTCATTTTACAGATGAGAAAACTGAGCCTCAGCTCAAGGTTGCTCAGCAGTGCAGGCAGGATTTGAAGGGGCCAGAACCCAGACCGGAAGCCATCTGCCATGTTGGCGCCCCCAGTACAGCAAGGAGCGGGGCCTCACAGGGCTCCCGGGCCCAAGAGGGGCTTTCTGGCCCAGACACCTGGCTGGGGGAGTCTGAGGCACGGAGCTGTGCAGCCGCTCTCTCCCTCCCCACCAGGCCCCGTCCCTTGTCTAGCACCACTCACCGGCCCTGCCTTCTGCCCAGCGTGTGGACAGCAGGGGTGGGATGACAAGGAACAACCCGGGTGTCTCGGCAACCCGCCTCGTTTCCCTTTCCATTGCAGGCCGCGGGGCGCTGCTGGCAGTCGCTGCTGGCCCATTTGTTGCTATTGGCATCCCAAGGCCCCAAATTATGATGACTAATTCCCCCCGCTTTAGGCAGCTCCAGGGCCGTCTGCAGCCACGTGCTCCAGGGGAAGTCAGGCTGGAAATCCTGCAGGCAGCACCCTAACACCCAACATCAGTTCCAACTCAGTCTCCTGACTCCCTGAGGGGCCAGGAGTCAGAGACATGGGAAGGGAGGTTACAGCCAATCAGAGGACTCCTTCAACAGTAGCCAAATCCTAGGCTAGCCAGCCATAGGGAAGCCAATTTCTTCATCAGCATAGAGTACAACTGTCTTAACCACCAGCTTGTTTTGTAAGGTAGTGAGTCCTCCATCACCCGGGATATGCAAACAGGCACCAGATGGCCACTTGTCCCACGTTTGTGGGCAGAGGACAGAGCTAGATGACTTTTCATGTCTCTTTCAAGTCAAATGCACTGATTCACGTTAGTCCTGAGGACGGAGAATGAGTTCATTCTCCCTTACCGTTTAGCTTACAGCCCAACTGTGTCCTGTGGTACAAAGTCAAATGCATACCAATACAGTTTAACACATCATTTTAAAGTCGGCCGTTCAGGCACTGTTTAAACAGAGAACTGCTGTAAAGGACTTGGCCTCTTTCCCAGCCTCCCTTCTCTGATGGAACACGGTTCCTGGCCCCACTCTGGCCTTCTAGGAGAGGACATAGGGAGAGGCAGCTGATAAATATTTGCTGAACAAATGCACGAAAGAGAGGGTTTCTGAGGCAGGTGTCAGGCTGCCAGTGTGATGTGGACTCTAGTTGGGGGTCCTGAGTCTGTTCGTCCCAGGCAGGGGAGATCTGCAGTGAATAGAAGCACCAAACTGTGTCACTCATCTAACCACAACCAGAATGTTCTAGACTCCCCAGCTAAAGCCAAGGGCGCAGTGGGCCAGGGAGAGAGGGGTGTGGGGCAGAGGGCCACCTCTCTGGCCCTGAAAGAAGGGGATGGAGGCAGCAGGGACACCTCCGGCCCACTCTTCCGTGGGGCTTTTGACACGTACCAGCTGAGCCCCAGGCAAGTGGTAATTAGCAAGAGGCCCTGATCAATAAGTTATTTTTTGCTGTCAGTAATTAATAATTACAGCTTAGCCACACCATGTAATTAAACTTTCATCCTGCTCCCTCGTGTGCTGTTTGGCTTTTATTGTGATTAGCTCCCAGCACTAAACTTTCTCCCTCTGGAGCTGGGCTTCCCAACCCTCAACTCAGGGTTTCCACTGCCTGGTTCACTCAGCTCACATCCCCTTTTGTCCTGCCCCCCCCCTACCCAGACACCCTTCTCCTGAAAGAACCTTCTGGACCAGCTGGCTGGGCTGCTACTGCCTTCCTCCCAGCCTCTTGGCCTCCTCAGGATGTCCACCAGCAGTAACCAAGCTTCCCAGCACTTGAAAAATCTTGCAAGGTGCTTGTTAAAATGCAGATAGCTAGGCTCACCCAGGTGTCTCCAATCAGGGTACCTGGGTGTGGAGCCCAAGAGTGCTAGACAGTCATTGTGAGACAGAGTGGTGGAGCCACGGAAGGAAGTACAAGAAGGGTGAGGAAAAGGCATTCGAGGTCTTTTTGGTGGGTGGCCAGGAACTACACCCCATGGTCTGCTGGCTTATAGTGTAAAAACAATCATTATCATAATAACAATTATCCTTTATTAAGCACAGTCTATGTGCCAGGGACCTGCTGGGGCCTCCCCAGAAACACCTTGAATTCTCATATGGACTCTGCCCTTTCTACAACATCACCCGCTTCATTTGGGAAACGAGGGGAAATTGTGTGACATCCACTTGTAGGGATAACAGTCAAATGGTGGCTTTCAGTAGAAGCAGGTGACGTTGCCTGGGTCCACTACCCGAAAAAAACTAAGCTCCGTCTAGATAAAATCTGGCAGGGGCCAATGCGAGGTTTGTCCCAAGGGACGACCACTATTTGGACCCTCACTCTGTCATGATTGGAGAATGGGGCTCATGGGCTCAGAAGTGACAAACAGGACTGGTGGCTTCAACCACCCCAAAGGTTAATGACATGGCCTCACACTTAAGGAGAAACTCCACCCTCTATCCCCAAAGCAGATAAGAAAGCACGCCCCAGCCTCATGGCCTGACCCTGCCCTCCACGCCAGCACTCAAATGCAACACTGCCCCCAAGCCCAGGCCCAGGCCAAGTTCCCACAATCCCCTGCATGGTTTGCAGGCTGGGAGATAAATGGCAGGAGAGTACCCGATGGAGGCAGGGAAACGCTCTTTCAGACCAGAGAACACAAATGGAGCAGCAGGGGACCTGGGCAGCCACTCTCAAAAAGGCAGCAAACAAGAGAAGCTGGAGAGCAAGTGAATCAATCAAAGAGGCCTTCACTGCTTCTGACAGGGTGAGCCCCTCTGCAGGAAGCACACAGACAGGAGATAGCTTGGCCTTATCTTCAGCTGGGCAGGTGGAATCTTGACCTCAGGTAGAGGGGACAGGTGTGGAGGTGGGGCATGGAAGAGACTTGATGATGCAAAAGGAAAGACCTTCAGGTGCCCTGGGGACTCCTTAAGGGCCTGGGCCCGGATGGGACAAGAACTTGTGTACCATCTGCCCAGGCAAATCACCCCGGTTGCTGGAGTCCGTGCAGCAATTAAATTAGAAGCATCCAGACGGAGACTGACACCCCTCTGAGCCCTCCTGTCTCCTGGTTGTTGACTGGTAACCCCATAGGCATCTCAGAACAAATCTGCGAGGTGCCCCAGGGCGGGCTACAATCTGTTCCTATTCTAGCAGCCTCACAGTCCTCCTGGGACCCATCAACAAGCCCACCCCAGCTGTGGATGGTCCTGGTTCCAGGGAGAGGGGGGCTTAGAATCCAGTCCGGACTCTGCCCCCAGATCACCCAGCAGCCTTGGTCAAATCACTTAATGCCCCCAGACCTCAGTTTTCCCATCTATTAAATGGCTGCTGGAATAAGACGACTTCTGAGGTCCTGCCTGCTAGAAGGTTTTATGAAGATCATAAAAATAATAATAACTTTTATTACCTTACATTTACAGGGCCCGTTAACAAAATTTCTAAGTGCTTTAATGTAAATTACCTTGTAAAATCCTCCCCACAACCCTGTGAGAGCTGATTATTTTCATCTCTTTGATCCTGGCTCTCTGGCCTGCCCGACTCTGGGTGCACTGGGGTACCCTCCCCCCCCCCAGATCAGCAACCCCAGAGGGAGGTGGGGCCCCTCTTGAGGTTTCAGCCTCCACAGGTGAGCGGCCTTGGTGGGAGTGGTCAGGCCCCCTCCTGAGCCTGGACGAGGGAAAACTAAGCCCCTCCAGTCCTGGGGCTCAGTCCAGACTTGCCTCCCTCTGCCCCCAGCAGGCGCCGCTCGGACACCGCTGGCACCACAGTCTGGGTCTGCGAACCCCAAAGGCAGGAAAGCGCCAGAGCAGCCACCCTTCCCTTCTGGGACCTGCCAGAGGACTGGGAGTATATTTGGGCATCCGCCCCCTGGAGGGGGGCAGTGCCCCCCTCACGCCGCCTCATCCGTCCTAACACTCCCACCCCCTAACCCACTAGCCCTTCTCCACCGCGAGGCTGCTCCAGGCAGCTACAGGTCAGCGCGGCGGCTGCAGAGACAATTGAGCGACCAGCGGAGCTGGAGGCAAAGGCAGAAGTTGTGTGTCTGGGAGTGGCTGGAGGGGAGGAGGCCTCAGACCCTCCCTGTGCGCCCACCCCCATGTGGGTCTGGGGCTGCACCCGAGACCTGGGCTCCCGGCCGGCACCGCAAAGCCCCAGCAGCCGGCCGAGCAACCAGGCGCGGGCTCCCTACGTGGCCAGGCCCAGCAACCGCGGCGACCAGCCGGCACCCAGCGCCGGACTCAGGCTGCTTCGCGCCGCCCTCCCGCCCCACTCCCTCACCCCGGGACAGCCAGCGTCTGCCCGGCAGGGCCTTGCCCTTCTTCGCGGACAAGGAGCGGGGACCCTGGAGCCCGGCCCGAAAAGCTCGGAGGAGCCAGGCGCTGAGCCTGGCAAGGAATGGCGTTCCCCTCCTTCGCAGGCCGGAGGGCACCCACAGCGGGTGGGGGAGTAGTGACCCCCACAACTCATCTTAGGCTCTGATTCTCAGCCCCCTCCCCTCCCGCAACGCCTCCCAGCACGGACACCCACCCTCCCCCACTGGAAAGCCACAAGTCTCAGAAAGACTGCCCCAACCCCCTCCCAAAGAAAGCCCCCAAAACTCAAAGAGGGGGGACCTGTAACTCCCTGAAGAGGGCTTTGCCCAGGCTAAGCCCTGTGTCCAGGGGGCCACCATGAGGCCAACAGGCACCCGCCCCCTCCTCTATTCCCTTCACCGCCCCCCCTTTCCCCCCACACTAGCCCCACGTGGGGGTGGCCCTCCTACCTTGGGCTCTGGCCTGGGGGATCTGGTGCAGGGCCAGCAGAGTCCAGATCAGCAGCCCCCACATGATGACCAGCCTGGGGTGGGGATGGGGGGCACTGAGCACTGTTTTATAATCCTGGTGGGGTCCGATACCCCGAAGCTTCGTCCTGAGATACTGTCTACACGGCTCCGGCCCAGGGCCGTATATGCCCAGAAGGGCAGCTCTGGCGACCCCAATCCTTCCACGTCCTCTTCGGTCCAAGTCCGATGCCGGCGGCGCGCCCGGAAGGCGAGGGGCGAGCCAAGAGAAAGGGGAAAGCCGTGCTCTCGGACTCGGGGCGCCTCCCTCCCTTAGCACCCCAACTCCGACTTCTTCTCCCAGGCAGGGCAGCCTCCGCGATTCGGCAGGGTCGCGGGCTGGGCTCCGGACTAAAAGGACAACTTCAGGAAACTTCCTCCGGTGGCCACGTTGCCCGCCCCCCGCCCCCTCCCCGCCCCCTGGTTGGGTCGTCCGGGAGGACGCAGTCACCGCCGTTCCAGGCGCCTGGCCCTGG